ATCCTGTTTGAAGGCATTTATTATATGTTTAAATAATAGCAATACATTTATTAATTCTCTATTTAATAAAGAATCTACAAATTATCAATTGTACTATCTGACAAAAATATTTAGTATTTCTTAAACTTTCTGCTTTCAAGACCCTATTCTGTTTCTAAAAATTAAAATTGAGGCATTTATAGAATGTTAATTGAATCATGTATAAATAATATTAAACCCATCAACCCATTTTTAATTGTTAAAAATCATTATTTTAACAAAAAAATATATTAAGAATGACATTGTTTTGAACTTTTGCAAATACCTTCAATATCTGGCAAATAATCTTGATTGATCCTTGATCTATGCTTTAATTAATATGCTTATATACACCATATGTACACCTTCCTCAACAAGAACAAGCCAACAGCATTTGTCTTGGCAGTAATCATTTAGTTTTCAGTTTATATAATAAGTTCCAAATAACTTAAAACAGAGTTTATGAACCCTGAATAAATTATTCAAAATTGGGTAAAAGTGGATTTTCTTTGGCTAACAATATACAAACCCATTACCCAATGACAGTAAGGACATTTAAATAAGGACTTTTGGATAAGTGTAAAAAGGACTTTCTGATAAGCAGTTTTGAATAATGAAGGAAAAATTTGACAAGCACTGATTTAAAGAGATGTTTGTTCAAAAAACAACTCCCACATGTACTTGGGTTAAAAGACTAGCATCCTGAGTCCCTTCTCTGCTGCTTGAGAAAAGAGTTGAAGGTATCAAAAAAGGTATTAGAGAGAAAACCTCATGGGCTTTTACCACTCTTGTTTACAGGAGCAATTATCAAATATTCCCAAATAAAAAAAGAACTCAGTCCTAGATTCACATACCCCAGATTGCCCACCTTGCAGCAAGTGAATAACGTACTTTATTGCATGGTTTTCATTTAAGTTAAGTGTTCAGGTTGGAATATTTAGTTACATCCTCAAATATTTTGGCTAATTTAAAACAAATTTCCACCTTTCATGAGTAGGATGTATGATGCCAAGTAGAAAATCACTTTATTCCACTGAAACTGATTTTTCACAATATATGTGTATCTGTACTGCTATTTCCTTGCTCCAACACTCTTATTCTCTTGTATACTAGAGTGAATTTTCTGCTTGAAGGGATAGCAGATAGCATCAATTAACCATGTGTAGTAAAACATCGTACAATTTTGGGATGTATAGAATAGGTCATGCATGAATCATTCTTTTCATGGAACAACTGTTTTCAGCAGTTTCATTTAAAGTGAAACATGGATGTTGGGCTAGCTACAGAGTGAAATGGGACTATTTTGAACCAGATGTAGAATGAAATGTAGTTCCAGAGATAATTCTTTTGGGGAATAAGAACATGTAAAATCCAAGTATGATAGATGAAGGTAGGTGGTAGGAAAGGAAAGGAATAGAAATATAAGAGTTGGACAGGTTGCTGTGGTTGGACATCAGTAGTGGTATTGCTGTGGGGAGGGAGGATGTGATATGTATACAGCAGTCTTGTCCTAATGGTTTTGTTTTGTATATTTTTTACTTTTTCTTGGTCTCCAAATCATTGCCCATCCACAATACAATGGGTTTGTTCTGGGTTTGGGGGGGGGGGGAGCGGACATCTGTTCTGTTTCATGCTCAATCTAATTTTTATATTATTTGTTTTGCTCCTGGGCATCTTTCCAGTTTTGTCATTTAAACAGCAGCTGAAACTAGAAGAACTAATGCTTTAACTATTTTTCAGTTCTCTTACAAGATCTGAAATCATTAATTCATAAGGTGACATAACTTTATTGGATATCTAATAAAAGTATTATTTTAATTTTATCAATTGCCTGAACAAACCCATTGAAGAACAAAACTTCTCAGAAAAACAAAAAACCATTACCTGTTGCTTTAAAACAATCAAAAATAATTGCTCTACATATTGATAAAGGTTGCTCGTCCCATCTTTCTTTATTTATACTGATAGTTTAATGTATAATTGAACCTGCTTATGATATAGCTGTTCTTTTTTGCCATCTACCTATATAGAATAATAATTGTTTTTTTTATACAGAACCAAAGATTTAAATATGTTAGGTTATTAAACCTCAAACTAAATCAAGATGTCATGTTCCTGATGGTAAAAAGTTTAGATGCCTTTAGAGACATATGTTAGATACTTGGAGCCCAATAAAACATTCTAAGAAAGGATGTTAAATGAGGCATGGCTGGTGCTGATACAGGCAGTCTGTGAGATGGCAGGCTGCCTGAGAGTAACTAGCACCTAGGGTGATGGTGCCCTGCATCTAAAACAGCCTTGTAGCAAAGTAGGGTCTGTTGTGGTCTGTTGTTGGTTGTGGAGTAGTTGGCAGTGAAGAGTTCTGGGAGTGAGAAGGGTTGTGGGTTTTACTATTCTCTGTAGGAAACTGTAAGCAACCTGTAATTAAGAAAAAACATAGTTTACTACTGATAGTAAGGAACAACAGTGGATATGGGGAGGATGTAAAAGTAATCTGGAACTAATACCTAGGGCGGTGATGGCAAACCTATGGCACACGTGCCACAGGTGGCACGAGTGCCATTTATCAGGGCATGCAAGGCGTTGCCCTGTCAGTTGGCCAGCGTGCATGTGCATGCTGGCCAGCTGACTTCAGCCTTCTTTTGAGGCTGTTT